GGAGAGAAAGAAGTGTCCTGCCTGGGGTAAAGTATGTAAACGGTGCAAGAAAAAGAATCATTTTGCAAAAGGATGCAAAGGTAAAGTTACTGCGGTTTACACTATCGAGAGTGATGAAGCCCAGGAAGAGATAAGTGTTGTTAGGGTTCAAGCTATGAAAGATAAGGCCTTCTTTGCTGAAATGCTGTCCAGCAGAAACCTGTCAGATTTCAAGTTGACTTTGGAGCTAGCGCTAACATTTTACCATACAAGCATGTGGGAAATGTGGATCTTGCTCCTTGTTCCCAGTCCCTTGTTATGTGGAATGGCACCATGGTCAAGCCTGTGGTGACATGTGCTCTGCCAGTTGAAAATCCCCAAAACAATTCAACGTACAAAGTAAGGTTCTTGGTCGTCAAGGAAAATCTAACTCCACATCTGGGTTTGAATGCCACCGAGAAGATGGGTTTGTTAACCATGCGTGCACAAGGAGAACTTTGAGAGTGTTGTCGAGAATTTGGAAGATGATCTGATTATCAAATATCCCAATGTCCTGGCAAGCTTCCTGGAAAGGTTCATCTACATGTGATCTGGTTTGTCAACCGGTAATTCTCCCGACCAGGAAAGTACCCATCGCCGTCGGAGAGAAATTCAAGGTGGAACGTCAAAGGCTGTAGGATCTCAAGGTCATTGCTCCCGTTGATGAACCGACAGAGGGGGTCACCCAATTCGTTGTTGCTGTCAAGAAATCTGTTGAGTTACAGGTTTGCATTGATCCTAAGGTGCTGAATGCGGCCCTGAAGAGGGAAAGATACCAGATTCCTGTTATTGACGAGTCGCTGCCCGATTTAGCAGAGGCTCATGTGTTCACTAAGGTTGATATCGCATCCGCCTTTTGGCAGTTGGTGCAGAACGATGAGTCTAGTCTGTTGACAACTTTTGCCACTCCTCATGGGAGATACTGCTGGCTTGGTTTGCCATTTGGTCTGTGTGTGTCAAGTGAGATATTCCAGAAGCATTACACCAAGAGTTGTTGGGCCTACCAGGTGTGGAGTGTAT